CTTGACCATGCATGGTGTAGGTGGCAGGTGAAGGAAATTCGTCGAGACTGTAGGTGGCAGGTGAGACGGTCTCAATGTCGTGGTTAATGTAGTTCAAGTGATGAAAAAGTTTACAACCTTCTTTGAAGCAAAATTTACAGACTACATGGGCTTTTTGGAGAAATCCTGCTTTTTTTGCTGGGTCCATTCTTGCGTATAGTCTTGAGATGAATTGACGTTGTTGTCAAGAGTATCACGAAGCCAGTTGTATTCATCAATGATTTTGAGACGAAGTTGCTTGTTTGAAATACTCTATGTTGCAGTTGTTGGTCCCATTTCTCCAGTGTAGTCCAAATGAGGAAGAAGTCTACGACCTTTGAAGAAAATCTTGAAGCACACCTCTGCGACCTCGGTTACAAAAATTTAGCTGTGTTGCAATTTACTTAGTCATAAAGAGAGTCGCTTACTAATTTAGTTCGTTAAATAGAGTATATCCTGCTGATTCACTGCGCGTTTCTTAATCCAAATATTTACTAGTTCTCAGATTCCAGTTTCGTGTGATTGTTGCTTACACACAAAAAATTTGTTCAGGTCGTGTATTTTCGACCGTAACTAAGATGACGTATTCTAAGTTTGTGTAGTTACCTTATTGGCGAATGGTCGCATTTCACTCTACTTTTAGTTGTCTATTTTTCTCACTCACTGTTTCGGGGTGCTGCTAAATTTTGGACTGTTGAGTTTTCCTTTCAAGGGAATATATTATTAATCTGCAAAAAGCAGATGGAAATATCTGGCTTAGATGGATCCCCAATTTAACTTCATGGGGACCAATTGTATCCATGTTTCGAGGATGAAAGTGAATTAGCTAAATCACTTATAGTAACAGTAATATAGTTACTTCTTCACTAGGGCTAATTTTAGAAAGAAGCTGGTAGTATGAACCAAAATATATAACTCAGTACTCAATGCATGCAGTGAGTGACAGAGCGCATTTACTCGTCGACGAAAACGTGAAGTCACGGACAGACGGACATATGGCGAGCACAATAGCGCCTTTTTTTCCATAAATGAGAAAATGCGCTAAAAAGACCCCCCCAAATATGCGATGGGCGAGCGGGGTTTCCGAGTTGAAAGAATAACAAAAATATAATCTCTTTCTTAAAATTGACTCTCTTTCTATATGAATTGACTCTACTTCTAAAAATTAACGACTAACGACTTACTAAAAATAGTGATGAGTTGCTACTTGTATGTGTCTGGCGCCACGTCCCTCATGACCTGCGTGTCTGTAACGGCACAACCGGCAGCACAGCCGCGACGCTCTCTCCTACTGCGCCGACCTGCGCCTGCTATACGTAACGGGACAATCCCATGAGCTCGCTGCTGTGTTACTGTAGCCTCCATGCCGGGGCGGTTCCTTAGCAGCAACCTAGAAGATATTTCGTTTGCCTCGATAACGTCTTACTAACACTACTAATAACACGTCTCAGTGACGTGTTACTAAGTATAGGGAAGTGGAATGTGGAACGGTGTCCTCAATACCGACATGGTTGATGACCATCGAAGTGAAACTTTTTCGCTAGCGTTAATAACAGCATTGTTCCTATATTTGTGACGTGTATCTCGTATCCTTATTTAACAAAACGATTGCTTTATAACTATGTGTAATGTATTATTTTAGTCTCGTATAATCAAACGGCTACTGAGCAGCGTCGTTCAAATATGGTTCGTTGTCGTCATGTAACAAAACGGTTTGCAAGCCGTGCTCTGCAGTGTGTTATACGTTGACCTCAAATAACGGGTCAGGTCCTATATATGGCAGCGCCGTGGAGTTTGTTACTTAGCATCATGTAACCTGACGGTCATAAAGCAGTGACGTAGACTGAGTAATGTTATCCTTAGAAAAGAAACAGTGACTCAGACGCACATCGGTCATCTCGACAGACATAGGTTCCATTTAAACAGTAAATCGCTTCTTATGTTGATAATTATTATTATTATTGCCGTATTATTTTAAAATGAGACAAATAAACTGGTACGCGAGAATGGGGTTTGAGGGAAAAAATTAATATAAACCTATTTCTTTCACTACACTGTACGTAGAATGAAGAACCTGCGGTTATTTACAAATATTCTGTAGTGCATTTTTTGCTTCCCTTCTAGTAGTGTACATGAGCTTCTCTTCTAGTAGTGTACATGAGCTTCCCTTCTAGTAGTGTACATGAGCTTCTCTTCTAGTAGTGTACATGAGCTTCTCTTCTAGTAGTGTACATGAGCTTCTCTTATACTTCTCTCTATAATGTTGACTTCCGACGGACGGTGCAAGCAGCTTTTTGAACCAGTCCTGTTCTGAAATCCAAGTCTCCAAAATTACCTTGCCCTAGAGCAACGATCCAACGTGTACATTGCATACAAGTACATGCTCCATACAGAGTATGGTCGCTGTCTGGTATTATAAACACACCCTATGGTATGTTACATGATATTCCACGTGTTTTTGGATGTCCACGATCATACGAGTATATGTGCGCCAAAGAACACCAAAGCATTTGTTTTGTGTGTGAGCCCTAAAGAGCTTAAAAATTAACGACTACGTTATTAACGACGTTTACGAATTAACGACGTTCTTGAGTACCCATGCAGGGATCAAATCTCTGAGTTTCAAGTTATTATTTACGGCATCTAAAACCCTAAGAAAAGCTAATGTCCTGCAGATGAGAATGGCATAAACGACGGTGAATGTTTTGGTAGACAAATGGTTAAGCCGTCAAAGGTTCAAAACGTTCTGGCATAAGCTGTCCGTATGCTTAGAACTCAATCTTCGTAGAGCCTGCAAGTCATCCTGAGGACACCGGACTCTCTAAAATATTCTCTCTTCCAGCTGGAGTATAAAGACAGAGCCTTGTTAACTCCATGTTACAGCACTAGGGTACACTAGTAGTGTACTAAAGTAAAGACGTAACAGCATCATTACCTCACGTACAGCCTTTACAAATCTTAACACCTACCTGGGATACAAGCAATATTTCCAGGCCTGAAATCGCTGTTTTACTTATTAAATAAAGCAATTTCATTAACGTCAAAATGAACTCGTCATTGAAGCCTCCGACGACTGCACATAATTCTTGATGCGTCAATTCTTTTTTTTGTGCGGCGATCCGTCTACATCCGTATAATTGACTGCTGACGCTTCCACATTTGAGAGTAAAAAATTCGCGAGATCAGAAAGTTAAGAATATAATGTAATTCTGGTAATGAACTATCGCGTTGGCAAGTTAAGGGAATCGCATTGGTTTCACGAATTAAACATATTTTCTGCAATCATTGTTTTGATTCAATCAATGATAAAGATGTGCTTAGCAACTATAAAGATATGCCTAGCTTATCTTTAGTTGTTTTCCTCGTCCTAAACACAAAATTCTGTCTAAAACTTTATCGTTTGCGTCAAGTTTCAATTTTATATATTACTCCTCCCACTTGAAAAAACGGGCTTTTAATTCTGCCTCAATGCATTCTGATTTGTACTACGTTAACAAGTATTAATTTCATATCGCGACCTAATATAATAAAATTTCCCAAACCTTATCAAATTTAGAATTCTCCAGATCGAGGATAGCATTAAGAACATCATACAACTCGCATGTATAAGAACAACTCTTGTCTAACTATACAAATAAAACGCGTAGTGAGCTTATCGAAATACGTTTCTGTCCTCGACGGGCGCACTTTTCCTGTACGGGACAAACATTTTGAAAGATATAATGTTTATGCCACGGATCGTTTACTTGTTATTGCAGCGTCTCCGTTGCACACATGCTAGACTGGAATAGTACCAGTAATCTATGCCTAATCCTCGGGCCTAGACAAGCAAATACGATATAGACGCGCAAGATGTCAAAGGTAAACTCGTTAATATTACAAATTCATTGGAGTAATGAATGAATATCTTGTCAAATTCTGTACAACTCCACAACCGTCACTAGTTCTATCATTTTCTTATCATAATTGGCCTTTTTGACTGGAATAATTTTTAAATGACCTCTTCTCAAATTGTATGCGTGGAAATATCTCCTGAAATAGGATCGGGAGCAACTGTAAGAGCGTTTTAAATAAGCTAATCGTGTGTTTCATTAAATGCCTTTGCAAGTTCAGTGTTAGCACTTGCATGAAACAATTTTGTTCGATATGAAATATTGCATCGGAGCAAACAAGTTCACAGTTTACGTTGAGATACTAAAAAATTTTGTCTAAAATTGAGGGTAAACTCACATGTAGATAGTTTACCTTAGTTTTAAATTCTCATGTAGATAGTTTGAATTACTGTTTTACTCTCATTACAAGTTAGAAAGTATTTGCTTCTAAAGGCAGCAGGACTTGTCAACCTACGGTTCTGTAGTTGGCAGAATCCCGGTCAAATACTTCGTAGAACATTTTGATCACGTAAAAAACTTGCCTTAATTGCGTTCGTTGAACTTAGCCGAGTATCCTTTTAGTTGCCAAGTGAGAACACCGAACACCGAAGAGCGATAGATGTCCTCTACCTGACCCTAGCTCAAACTCGTTTAGCTGCCGGACAATGCAAATGCTGAAGAATTTTCCTCGTACAAGAATAGATTATTCTGTGGAGTAAATACCTTTGCAACAACAAGGTGTGGCTTTGTGACGAACGCGTGTGGCGGGATTGACTCGAATATTTGGAGGTACACAAGAATATGAATCGTAGTAACCGTAATAATAGCAAGCATTCCTTTAACCATGTCAATGGAGTGTTGAGCTGGAAAGAGTTTGAGAACAATTAATCAATTATCGAATGGGTAAGCTTGGATTGATTCGGCCGCTTTTAATGACTTGGGCAGGAGCTGCAGAACTTTCAGTTGTTTGCAAATAAATCAAAACAATCCATTTTTCGAGTTCGTGTCCTCGACCTATTCATGTGCATCCTCGAAATTTTCCTAATAATAGAAATTTGTAAATAAAAAATTCGTGAGTGAAGGCCTAAACAAATCTTTTATCTTTTTCAGAGCCGCTTTTCTCCGAGCTCGATGACCCAAGTTCAGCTCTGTCCGCCCGAGCTCCATTGCGCCCCCAGCACCGACCGCGGTCTTTGGCCATAAACCTCCCACCCTCCCACGACGAACTGCGCATAATCCGTGATACTTTACATCCATTTCCAGACTCATCTTTTCTGTTCCGTGACGCACCTCATCAATTACGTGACGCACCTCACTCAATCCGCGACGCACATCATCAGTTTCGTGACTCATCTCATCCATTACGAGACGCAACTTTCACTGCCCGCGACACATCCCAAGCACTTGATGCAGAGCCTCTTCTACTGCATGAAGCGTCGTATTTGGCCAAGCAGACCTTTCCGTCAATTCGTAAAGTATCTAATCATCCTCATCCCGAAGGGTCTAGTATAATTCCTGAAGCTCCGAACTCCGCTGCCGAGATTTCCCACTCTAAACTTTACGCAGCAAACAAGCCCCATGTCCGTCTGGGAGTTGCCACCGACATTGATGGCAGTAGAGCATCACCGGCGCCATTTGGCCGTGTCTCTCTCGGTCATGACGTTCAGGCCGCCCTTTCTGAAGACGAGGAGCAGAGAGCTGCTTACATACGCCATCTGCTGCTGCAGATAGCCTCTCTGCAGCAGGAGGTGGCAGCACTTCGCACGGCTCGTACGCGCTCAGGAGCTGCTACTAACACGCCTCTGAGTACGGGTGAGGACAGCAATAATTCTGATCATTTCTAATTAGTATATTTCAAATTTCTTGTTTGCGGCGCCTCTTAAAAATTAAAACTACGATTGCGGAACTAGTCTAATTGGAAGGTGTCTGCTATTTTTATAGTGTAAACAGCTGTCCTAAACTAATGAATGCCAATTTTTGACCGCATTTAAAATGTTTTTTTTAATGTTTTTTCCACAGCAGCCAGAACCACTCCTAACCTTATCCAACGAGAGCCATTAAGGTCATTCCCCGCCAGCAAAGACCCAGCAAGCGAGGACCAGTCCGGTCACACCGTCCGGCGTCACGGCTCATCTTTCTCCGCGTCATCCTTCCCCAGCGATGGTCACCACAACGCCTCGCAGGGTGTGCCCATGTCCGCAGAAGCAGCTTGCTCGGCCACCCTCCAGCAGCAGATTCTGCAGAGTGAAGTCGTCAGGGGCCTGCCTCTTAATAACGAGTGAGAGAATATGAATATTTTTAGCGCATTCTCTCATTTATGTAAAAAATGCGCTATTGTGCTCGTCATGTCCATCCGTCTGTCCGTCCGTCTGTCCGTGACTTTATGTTTTCGTCGACGAGAAAATGCGCCCTCTGTCACTCACTGCAGTGAGTACTGAGTTATATTGTTTCAAGTAGATATCAAATTCTTTCCAATTGCCTGTAATATTTCACACGTTGGTACATCACTAACCAACCTACCCCACAGGTACGAGGTGGTGCCGTTCTCACACTTCAGTTGGTCCCGAGTGTACCCCTCTGAGTTGGGTCTCGGCAAGCGCGTCGTAGAGAAGCCTATTGGGTATCGGCGTAAAGACGTCCTTGCTGCGCTCACTGCCGCCCTCGACCATCTCAACGCATATCAAAACCACGGCTACAGGTCACCTGGAAATGATACGTTGTTTATCTTTAGTATATTATTTGTGTTGAAATAACTCATCAAGTTCCGCTTATTGCATTTTAGATGCATCCTGTTAATTGTTTATTAATTATCCATAAATTTATTAAGGCATTGAAATAATAATTTAAGAATGCTTGAGGTTATATATGGCGAAAACGAAAAACTAAATGAACATAACTTTCTTCACCGGGAAAAAGATCTCGAATAATTTTCTGAATCTGATCTTATTTTCGTAACTTATCTACGATGAATAACTCTACTCAAGAAAACAATCTCATGAACTCAATCAGAATCAACACTTTATTAACACACATTAACGTTAATTCACAGAAGACGCCAATCGTCTCTCTTGTGATGATTATCATATCATGCCGTTAGGTAGGTACGCTGATGAAATGAAAATTTGTGTAGAGGTTTATATTGAAAAAAAAAATAATTTGGCAACATAGCGAAAGTAACGTCGTTCATAGGCCACGTTCGGAATTTGTACAAAAATTCTCTGCATTTTCTTTCAATATACAACGTTCTCTGTATTTTCTTTCAATATACAACGTTCTCTGTATTTTCTTGCAACAGATATTCGATGGACGATTTTGTGGAGGGCTCATTCCGGACCATCCCCACCGCCGGAACTCAATACGAGCTTGTTTTCCGAGACAGCTTCCGCAACAACGAAAACAAGAACAACAATTCTTCGATTATGAAGAACAGTTACGACGGGAGAGTGTTGAGTAAATCTAGCGAAGCTGTTGAAGAAGTGAATTCAAGAGCTACGCGTAAGGAGGGCAGTGAAAAAAGTGGCATTATTTCTAACCCAACCAAGAGCATTGTGAAAAGTCATAAAAACACTGAAAAAACTAGTTCTAGTTTTTATAATATTACAAATAATTCTCGTAAGATTAAAGCCGATCATAATCTCACTAAACTGGAAGCCGATTTCACTGGCAGCAACAAAGTAAATAATATCTCTGCCACATCGAGTGTACAAGGTAATCTTGGTGAGAGTGATAACAGAAGTCGTAGAAAATTAATACCTGACGTAAATATTTCTAAAAACATAAGTTCTAGCGGGAAGTCCTCGCGTTCTCCGTCTAGCGGAAATGCTCTCAAGATCGTCACGCTGGTCAGGCCCTTCGCCCCCATCACCGTCGTCAAGAGCAGGACCAACACCGCGCGCCAGCTGGTCAGTCCTCTTACTTCTTATTCAAAATATTTCTTATTATGCTTAAAATTCTTATCTGCTCGCTTATTTTATCCAAGTATTCTATAATATTTCATATGCAAACATTCCTATAATATTCTAATCTATTTTAAGTGATTTAGTTGATTTTTTGTTTTGTCTCTGTATTGAAATTTCATTTGAGGTTGCTCGAGTTCTAATTTAGTTTGTTTCAAGTTAAACAAATTTTAAAAATCCGATGATTTTTACGCTGCTGCCTTTTGTTGTAAATAGCTTTTTCAAGTATTCCTAGCAATTTCAAAAGAGATTCTAATGAGAAAAGGAAACTTGGTGGTTTTACTTTATGTTAAGTACACGACTTTACATGCTGCAAGCCAGTGATCGTAAAAATAAAACAAACAATTTGTTTAGCAGACACAAAAAACTACAATTTCTTGCGAATATTCTTAACGAAAATTAAGCTTGTGATTTTATCTGTTATACGTTAATTTACGTTAATGTTTTACGTTAACTAATTAACATTGCATATAATCCATACAGGGTATTTTATATCGAAGAAGCTTAATGAATTTTCCTAATTAAAAGCCCTTGTGAGAACGACTGTTTTTCATAGGAATTGTAGTGATTTGGTCTGCAGAATAAATATACGTGTCCTTCATGGCTCGTTCACAGATTTAGTGATTTGTCTTCCTTTAGTTCAATAGCAGTCCATCTTCAAGCGATTCTCAGCAAATATCTAATAATTATCCTTCTCCCGGTCCACATGAATGAAGCACTGTGTAACTTTTTTTTACCCGATTAACGTTATTCTGTCTATCACTATCATTTTTAGTCCTGTTAATTAACATCAGTATTCCGAAATGTTAACATTCACTTTTCAAAGCCACCTAATTCTCCCAGTGAGTGAACTTTCTTTCTTCAGACCAACATTATTCTGCCGCTATACGTATACATTCGTCGCTATTATTCAGTCGCAGATGAACTTTTCCACCCTTCAAATCAATACAATTCTACAGCTGAGCACAATCAACATTTCAGTCGCAGATGAACTTTTCTTCCCTTCAAATCAAGAAAATTCTACAGCTCCGTACAATCAACATTTCAGCTGCTGGTGAACTTTTCCTCCCTTCAAATCAATTTGATTCTACAGCTGAGTACAATCAACATCACAGTCGCAGATGAACTTTTCCTCCGTTCAAATCAGTATAATTCCACCACAGAGTAAACGTTCTCTCCTCAGATCAACATAATTCTGCCGCTGTCAGGCCGGCTGCAGACGTTCCAACGCTTCATGACGAAGCTGACTACGGTGATCCTGCCTCACGACCGCCGCATCTTCCTGACGGTGGTCTACTTCGGCGACGACGGTCTTCAGCGTGCACGCAACATCATCACGAAGGCCTCACGCGACGCCAGCTTCAGGATGGTGAAGCTGCTCACGCTCAACGAAACTTTCTCGAGAGGCAAAGCCCTACAGGTGACACTAGTTGCGCAATCACGCAATGGTTCGTTCACTGTAGTCGTAGACTCTGGTCTCATTAATCCATGGCTACGAAAATCAACCGTAGCGAAATCGATCGAAAAGACGACCAATCTGGTCAGTTTTTGTACGGGACCACAGTAGGGTCAACGAAATAGTATCGAAATTACTTGCAGATATCAATGATGATATTGATAATTTTTTCAGAATATTAGCCCCCCCTTTTTACATTCACGTGCTTGATATACTATATATCTAGCTTAATATTTACTACCCAAGAGTCATTAAACAAGTGATTTTAGCTTAATTCTGTTCTCTCAAATGAATAGGTTTTCACGATACCTATTAATGAATTTTTTTGTTCTCAAACGTTTACAAAAAGATTCCTCTCTCATTTCGCTTCTCGCAGTGCTGTTGAACCTTTTTGTTAGCCTAGTGCTTCCCTCGTTGGATTTTCCTATGACTATGAACAAACCATTTGTACCTTAGAGTATATAAAAAAAATAAGTTTGCAATGCATCACCTAGTCGGGGCAAACAGCTGAACAATAATTTCAACTCGTATAAATTGAATATATCCATGCTTTCTTGATTTGTTTTATTAGCGTTATTTCGACTCTAAAACTCGTTTTCGTTCGTGTCTAACACTTGTTTATTATCTACATTTTTATTCTTTCTGATTAGGTTATATTTTCAAAACTAGTATGATTATTTAAGTGTTTATCATGATAAGCATACCGGACTAACTAGCAGACAACCGCGTAGGTGGGAGCCCAGCACTGGTCAGGGGGCGACGTGCTGTTGTTCATGTGCGACGTCGACGTGGTCTTCAGCACTCGCTTCCTCGACCGCTGCCGCATGAACGCCGAGCCTGGTCGCTCCGTGTACTATCCTGTCATCTTCTCCCTCTACAACCCCGGCCTCGTCTACCCTATTCAGGGCAAACCTATTCCTGAGGTACGTGAAGTGCTTTATAAGAATGGAAGTGTCGGCACTGAAGAAATAGGCCCATGGTAGAAATAGAAGTGTCGGCACTGAAGAAATAGGCCCATTGTAGAAATAGAAGTGTCGGTAGTGAAGAAATAGGCCATGATGCATCTTCTCCCGCTACAACCCCGGCCTCATCTACACTACTCAGATCAAACCATTCCTGTATTGGGTGGAGTGGGCGTTAAATCGTCGACGGTTACACTCTTCTTTGTGTGTGTATGATGGATTTTAGTTTACGTATCCTTATTTGATGACAGAAGAACGTACGCGAAGCAGAGACGGGATTTCATACTGAAAGCATGAACAAATTTTTCCAAAGAAACTTTTTACTTGTTCAGGGTGATTCATTAAAATTTCCTTTTTTGAAAGATCAATAAAAATAACTAGTAAAGATATCATTACAATATAAATTTTATGAATAGATAAATTACCTGAATTTTTGTATCATGTTGTTTTTAAAATGACATCGGACAAATGACGGCTCTCATTACCAATGCATTTGGTTAGTTGATTTTTGAAGTTCCGTTCAACTCGCTGAAGCATATTGACGGGTATGTTGGCGGTGGTTGGCATATGTTGTTCTTTAAATGAGGTAGGTAGGGTCCTTGGATAGTCATTGTAAACAATTGGTTTAAGATAACCCCATACCAAAAAATTTTCACTTGCCCTAAATGTGTTCAACCACGTAACAGTCAATTTCCGCAGTAACCATACCTGAAGGACGAATACGGAACCGAGTCCGGAATGCTCCTTGAGTATCGATAATGGAATGTTCATTAGAGTAGTACGCCTCGACAGCAAACACACGCTGCTCACTTGTCCAATGCATAGTGGGAACTGACTAGGCGGGACACAAAACTTCATAAGCTTGCCTTTCTTATGAAATACTCCCCGCCCTTTTCCTACAACATCTGGCTGCTCGCCGCGAAATAAAAAAGAAAAAGTTTCCGTGAATCACCATGTACAAGGGAACTTGTGCTGTAAAATTAGTTTATTTTAATTTTGAAACGGTAAAAAGTAAAACTTGACATACTTTTAAGTTATTTTTTGGTCTAATGCGTGTAGTGTTTGTAAATAAATTTTCTTCTTCTGTTGAGAGCTTAAGAAGCAGGTTTGTTCCAGGGATCTTCATGCTTGAGTCATGTGTGATAGGAAGTGCTGATTTGTAACCACGGAAATTGTTTAATCTTGATTGGTTGATTTCCAGCTTCGAAATTTGTATGGGTTCTGGAATGATGGACGTAAACGGTCTGCGTCATATTTTTTCATTTTATTTTTAGTGAATTCGTTACTCCAGGACCTGGACCAGCTGGTTATCTCGAGGGACACGGGCTTCTGGCGCGACTTTGGTTACGGGATGACTTGTCAATATCGCTCCGACTTTCTTAGCGTCAACGGCTTCGACCAAGAGATCGTCGGCTGGGGAGGGGAAGATGTCCTGCTATACAGAAAGTGAGAAAAATATTGTCTTATTTAAGAATAGTTTAGCCTGAAATATTTATTCTAAGCATGATCATTGTGTATATAAATTTAAAAGTAATAGTTTTGTATTATATATATGAAGTAATTGATGCGGAAAATTCTCTATTTGGTTTCATGCGTTAAACTATTGCGTTTTAAGAACAGTTGTCTCCCACCGACTTCATAAAAGACTCAAAAGACTATTTGCTGGCATAAAATCAGCCATAATTATCTTGGAATGGTAGGAGTCGCGAAAGAAAGGGCAGTACAAGCATCTAAGATACCAGAGATTTTTTAGAATTTTTCTTCACTTACTAATGAATTACAGGAATTAATACTATTCTCGTTGTTTACATGAAATGTACTACAATTATTAGAATTCTACAAGTAAACAATTATCTTGGCCGTCGTAGCCATGACACATAAACAATGCTGGTGTGTAGGTACGTACTCTCGTCGCTCTTGTTGTTTACATGAAATGTACTACAATTATAAGAATTCTACTCGTAAACAATTATCTTATCCGTCGTAGACATGGCACATAAACAATGCTGGTGTCGGTAGGTACGTACGCTCGTCGCTGGCCGTGGTTCGCTCCACCGACCCAGGCATCTTCCATCTGTGGCACCCGAAGCTGTGCTCCTCAGCGCTGCCGGGCGACCAGTACCGCGCATGCCTCAGCTCCCGCGCCCTCAGTGAAGCTTCGCACGCTCATCTTGGTTTGGTCGCCTTCAAAAAGGACCTAGAAAAGCATCCTGTTGGCTCACAAATTTTGCCCGGCATCAGTGCCGCCGAGAAAAATCTTAATACTGCTGCTGCTGGAGGCTCATATCAGGCCACCGGTGAAATCTGAGGCAGTCTTCTGTGTGTAGTATGAGATAAAAGTCTACTATTCGTCATGCATTGAAGTCAACTTCCAACTGCGATATGATGTTAAATCAACAAAAAATTGGATGAAAGTTTAAAATTTGCAAAATTTAATCGAATCGCACTACATATATACTGATTTTAATATCTTATGCTATTTCATGGATTCTTCTATCAAAGTGGAAAACATTGCATCGATTGAAGCGCTTTGCTGCGATTGCTGATTTTTTCATATGGTTACCGAAGTACAAATTCTTCTATTTAAATCAACTTCATTAGCTAGAACTATTAAGCGCGAGGTAGCCATGGAATGACAAACACGTGGTTACTTGAACAAGTCCTTCGTGATTCACATTCATGATTGACAGGCGATTGGTTATAGACTAATGAATTGTCCACACGAGGGCATTTTAATGAGTCTTATGAACTTTACAGCTCACACTACATTGCGATTAATGCAGGGCATTTTTTCCAACGCGGTGTTGGCCAAGTTATGTTTTGTCGAATTCTAAATTCCGTTAAAGTTTTTTGATCAACTACTGTAATGTCCTCATAGATTAAAAAAATCTTCCTCGTTCGAGAGACTCGTTTATTCACATGCTAACGGTATAATATTTACCAATGCGTGAGTACGTTGTAGAGACGTCTCCGTGTTCTCATTTCACTTAGTGGAAAACGTCTAGAGACATATTGTTAAGGTGTGATTTATCGATAGTCTATAAGAACTAATTTCAGGAAAATATGAAAGTTTTGACGAATCAGCCTGAGAAACTCAAATAGAGATTTTCATATACCCTATTTTATACCAGACCGGTCACAACAAGTGGCCGTTGGATACCGAATGACTTTGATGACTCAACATTAACCGTTCAATAGGAACCATGCGCAGACTTTGACTAATATTAGCTATGACTTTTCTAAATCCATTGCATTAAGTCTTTGTGCCCCAACAAGTCACCTGTTAAAGTTCTGGCACAAAAATTATTGTTGAGTTCTGATTGCCAACTAGTCTTGCTTCAAGTCCGTAGTACCATTTACCATGATTATGTGCACAGAAATAAAGTGTGCCGGAACACGCAATTAGAGTATTGGGTCTCTCATTGTCAATTGGGCATCGATAACTCACATGGCATTCTTGAAAGATAAAATACCCTGAGAATAGCGGCATAATCGCTAAAGCCATTTGTTCGAAAACGTTCTCTTACATCGAGGAGAGCAGATGATTTCTAAGCTGCTCGTGGTGTTAGGTCAGTTTTTATTATTAAATTATCTTCGTTGTGTGCCAAGTCAGGATCTTTGATGAAATGTTTATCTTATGAGCGTGTAGTCTATCAAGCACAGACGAGTATATGGGAACCTTTAAAAACTTAAGGAATGCCGTTTATCAATGTTTGATGTTTACTGAAATAACATATCGATCGATGTGCGGAAGCGAATTTTAATTCTGATGCCGAATACAATTTTTTACTGAACGCAAATTATATACCATTTTCTATGGCATGTACTTTTAAGCTTTTACTAAAACCAATGAGAAAGTTTCGTGTAATTCTTGCGCAACGAATGAAGAAACAAGAAATTGTTATTTTTTAATATATAATGGCTTTCGAGATTCGTTTCCGTTGCCCAATACGTATGCTACTTTAAATTAATTAATTTATAACGTAGTCAGTATAATTTTTATGATCCCCTTGGAGGTAAAAAGGACTTTAATTTATATTTTTTCAGGTAATACCAGTGCTCCAGACAAGATGTTTCATTCGACATTGATGTTGCAGAGCCGTTGTTGTTTCCTGATAACAATGAACATCCCTGAAATGTCTTGGCTTTCATATTCTCTATATATAAAATGTCTCTAATTTTTTTAGAGACAATGAGTCTATTTAAATGTGGGATCAGCCCTCACTCTTTTTATCGAGAACGTGAAATTACATATTGATCTCTTCGAAAATTTTGTGGCAGATATATGCCTGATAAAACCGACGTTCAAATATTTATCTATTTGTCTCAAAATAATGGGCATGTTTCCTGACGCAGAATTATTAACGGATGCTCAATCAAGCAAGGATCGCTGCTCTCGAATAATCAAACAATTGTGAATCATTTGCTCTCTGACGATCAATCAGTTATCTTGCCACTTAGTAAGCCGTGTAATCGAAAATGAATCGTTACGTGTAATACTTCGTCTAAATTTAATCTATGAGCTTTAAACGCTTAATAAAGTCATAATTTCACCCTAATTTGATAAGCAATTCAAAAGTTATCATGTTCTGCATCATAGTTTATGTGGTTCAAGTAGCAGTTAATCGGCAACGTTATTAATAAGAGTTTGGCTACGGTCTAAAATATTTATTCTCATGGATGTTAAGTGTTACTAGAGAATAGCCTTATTATCTGTCTTAATACGTGTGGTGTACGCTGTGTCTTCCATTATTCTCTTAACTTATAAGTATGATAACTTGAACCCTTCTACACACACTCTACACCGATACCGCTGACTTCCCTATAACAAAAACCATCTCCACCGAGCCTGCCTCCTTATACCGAGTAGCTGCTATTCATGTATAATTTTTTTTACCAGAGTGAGCGGTTTTGATGTAGAGTTTTAAACGACATTAAAACGCCGAGATGGCAATTTTGACCGTATTTTTATTACTTGGTTAATGTATTTGTGTACCGAATGTATGTATCAGTGGTGTGTTCGTTAAAAGCATCTGATGTTACTCTAAATTATTCGTATATTAGCTAGTTTATAACTTGGAGAAAATACCAATACGAGAAAAATTCGTAATTTTCAAGCCTGTGGTTTCTATTTGCATTCAATATTATGAATTAAGTTTTTCGTTTGAAAAAAAAAAAATAGTTTTTTTTAATTTGATTTGGTTATTGGTATTCGTTTTCAATTAGTTCAGCGATTATTTGATATTCAAATATTCTGGCCGACTAATGCAATCATCCTCCAAGGCCAATTAGCCAACTCAGTCATGTCTTTCAAACGACCCTTGTATACTGGAAACTTTAAACCCTAAATTACTCTTAGGTTTCAAATTTACGTTGTGAATATGGATTCCAAATGAGACGGCTGCAGGCGCCTCTTGTGTTGCTGGCTGCCGTTTGGCTACAATATTTGATATTCCGGTCCCATGTCGAGACCCAATCGAAGGCCAACTTTAATAACTCGACTGTTGAGCGGCGTTTTGAACATCTCGACTTGAAAATATCACTTGAGCATCGCCTGTGTTCTGCTTATCTTTCGGTGTCTATCTGTGCCAAAATACTTTTCCTACTTTGATGCTATTTTTTAATGGTCGTCAATTTTATTTATTTGATCCATGATAACTGCCAATTTTTAGGCTTGCCCGTTGTTAGACTAGGAACAACGCTTCTCCATTTTTCGAAAAATTTAAAGTAATAAGATATATCTCCAGAAACGAGGAGTTTCAACGTTCAGCATTATTGAAGACTTGAGTAAAGCTTCTTAATATTATTCTCTTGACTATAGGTTGATTTAAAGCGAAAGAGCATTATAATTAGGTTTAATAAAAATGTCAAAGACAAGTGCAGTGTTTTTTGTCAATTTTTCTCTACGTCGCAATTCAGTCATCTTAAATGGCGAATATACGTACGCTTACAACTAATTTAAATGCTGGGCTATGAATGATTGATCATGATGTTGCTTCTGCATCAAAATATGTTACCTAGAGAACCATAACTTAGCATTCTATAACACGAACAATATCTTCCATACATTATTTTTTACCAACAAAGAGTAGTTCGAAAATTCACAGTTTGTTACTCAAGTTCCACAATAGATATGCAAGTACACAAAAAAGTAATTACCTTTTGTAGCTTCATATGCCAACCTTAAATTTGTATGCTTACTTTTTTGTACATGAAATTGCGTATTGAAATGATTACTACCTGTTGTTAGCAAACATCACCTTCAACAGGCATCTGAAGCGAAGAGCTAAGAGCAGACGAGATGGTATCTAGTCAAGCAGTAGGACTGTACCTCGCATTTCCCCTTGTTAATTAATGCTGAATGCAACTCAAGTCAATGCGTGAAGGCGAAATTTGTGCACTACCTCTTTGTTGCATCGCGTCAATAATAAATATTATACATTGCGAAATTTAGGTGTCGTCTAAAACCACTATTATTTCATCTGGATTGTACATCAGAGATAGGATTTTATATAATAACAATTAAGACGAGAGATAGCATCATTGAAGGGTGGCTTGAAGAACTGAGATGAAAGCAAAGGCACATCACTAATAATGTGATACGAATGCAAAACCATTAAAAAATTGCGTAAAGAGTCATTTTTGAAGATGAAATTATTTTTTTCATAACCAGTTAAGAATACTTTTATTATCAGTGCATAGATATTTAAGAAGCGAGCTAGGAAAGTTTGCCATTGTTTAACTTTTATGAATATGTTAGTGGAATATATGGGGATGATAGTGGTAAACCTCGGTTCGGGATGTAAGCAATCGACTGGTCCCGAATAACACAACAATCATATCATACATTTACTCATTCATTAGGCTTTAAATCAATTCGTTTCCTCAATGTCACAGGCCAAACAATCTTTTGAAGTCAGTCATCAAAACACTTACTTGGCGTTTTAATTTGACAGAAGAAAAATATAGAAAACGCAGTCAGCCATCCATGTACAAGTCATTGTCTCGTCGAAAGTTATGAACGTTAAAATTTCGCAATCAAGACTATTTAGCGGTAAAACGACTTCAAGAATGTAAAGATCAAAGTATAGCGGTAAACACGACTTGAAACAATAGAATCAAAGACCGTGAACATCAAGAAACGAATAAAATATGTTACGTGACAGGAGTATAAAAAACCTTATCTACAAAACACTAATGAACATACAGTTAATCTATTTGATCCATTATTATAGACGGCTTGGTGAAGCTTGAGATAAGCACTCTAATGCCATGCAAACGTGAATGCGTGACAAGTTAATCTTAATTTCAGGTACAATATCAAGCACATCAACCAATTTAAAGTTTCGTACAATAACAACGAGCAGATTTTAATGAAGAGAAACCATTATGACACTTAAAGGGTTAGTGAACTTGAAACGTTACATATACATTCAAAAATATAATTTCGTATTGTTCGCGGATTTCATATTTTTGTAGTTTATTTCATTCAAGACTACCAGGATCAAGTTGTATACGACATATTCCTATACAGATCTTAGAGCAAAAGATTGCGGCTCCGTAATAAGAATAAGTAAAAGCAATAAGATTATTAATAATGAAGGAAGAAGATGAAAAATTGGTAAGAACCTTCCAGGAAATAGCGACTTACACTTAAAAACGCCCAGCATACAAACGACCTGGCATTTGAAGGTCAAATTACAAGCTGTAGCATTACTAAGCACATCAATGACCTCAGAACTCACTTTTTGATGAAAAATACTCAACTTCTATGTATTTAGGAGACAGCAGGATGCTGTTTTAGTTTGAGTTACCATTACTGTTGTAAAAAAAAACTTTAAAAAGGCATCATAGATGACTTTGAATGACAAACATTCCATTAACCTTGACGATTTTTGGATCAAAGTGTTAGGTTTATATTATCTCAAAATCCAATTAAATTACATAACTTACAATAAAAATTGTTTCACAAACCCTGCATAGTCCACAATAAAGTAACCAATATTTAACACACAGTCTTGAATTGTAATCTGGAGTCTATATAAACATCAGCATACGCAACAAATTAGTATATTTTACACGCAACACAGAATACATAAAGATTAATTTAGTGATACTGTCGACACAATCAAGTGAGCCCAACTCTAACCACCTACCAGCAAACAATAGAGTGAATAGACGAAAACTGGACATGATATGAGAATGAACAAAGAAGCCCTTGAAAAAAAGCATTGTTTAAATTAGATCTTAATTCCAAATGCAGGTTCATTGCCCACTCCGACCACCCCACGTCCACCAGCAACACTTGAGACGCGTCTTGCAGGCTCAACCGAACACCTCCTGAGATGCATACTCCAGGTACAGGAAGCCGTCCTCATCTTTGAACTCGTGGTATAACTGAAAGGAGATTTCATCAGGTGATATTCACAGAGAATCCCAGGAGTAGATATCAATCAAAGACTTAAACTTAGTACCGTATCAACCTTTATTTCATTTTATTAAAGAACTGGGCACGCACTTAGGAGCTTATCTCGTTATAAAATAATATAAGGAGAGATGTGGCTTAAAAAATTTGTGGTTTTAACAAAAAAATGGTCTAATAAACAAACTCATTTCGATATCTTGGGGACTTACTGCAAAGATAAATTTTTGAATTATGAATAACCTTCCATCAAGTTATACATTGTCATTCCATCAATAACATATATTGATACTAAGCTCAATTGAAAGTGAAGAAACATGTTATTTTTACTTGTTCTATTGTGGATGATAGATTGGGCATGTGTTGACCATCCACCAGGAGGAAGAATGATTGATCTTGATGCAGCTGTAGCCGATACCTGCATACATAATCAATGCAATATAAATTAAGAGGAAGAGCACAGATAATAGTTAAAAATAAATATTCTAAGATATAAGAAGATTTATTGCAAAAAATTATATTAAATTAGTTACCTCTTTTTTTAGATCAATTAAAGTTGTTTGACCAATACCACATTAATTCATTCTTAAACATCTTAATGTAATTTTTTTTAGACATGTCATGTAAGAATATCTTTCAACATTTTTCAATCTGCCCACACACTAAGGAATGATTGCGGGTGATGGTTACAACAAATTGTTCCTTCTGTGATTGTTAAATTTCATCATTAGCTTTAATTCTTTTGGAATTTGAAATATGGTGTGGAGCTATTTGATGCACAGTGCAAGTTTAATTTCCACACAACTCTCTCCCATCAAAAGTTAATCATGCCTCAGTGATTACTTGCTTCTTGGAAACAATGAAATACTTGAATTAAAACCTTAAAATGCCCTTTTAAAAAATAATAATATTAGCCATGACTGATTTACATAAGGAAATTTTAAAAAATCAATTGAACACTTATTGACTAACTCAGAACAAAAATTTCAGCAGGAAACACAGGAAACAATGTTTACAAATGTATTGAATTTCATATTAAATTTTCAGCAAACCTGATTGTAGAATGAAGTTGCCCCAAAGTTGAGGATCTCACAAGTAAAAATTTCTTCCGGTCCAGAGGTGGCAGATATTTCTCAGTAGGAGCTTTTTCAAGGATGAGTGGCAGGCATTCTTCTTCTTCTTTTAGAAGTAGAGCCGATTCTTTCTGGCGTTCATCTGGCAAATAGGAAATTATTACACAAAAAGAATATAAAACAGTAGAAAATGGTCAGATTTACCACAAGTCTCAAATGCATAGGGCAAAATTTCTGAACATCAATCGAACAGTTAAATTATTGACATTTCCTGAATAGATTCATGAGGATGCAAAGCTTTTCTCCAATACCTTGGTGATGATTCTTACAAATCAAATAAACATATCAGATCCTTTGGTTATCAATGCACTGTTTAATTAATTTATTTGTAAGCCATTAACATCTTGCAGCATGCATGAAGGTTAAATGAATAAAATTTTGTATATATTGTAACATAGGTAACCAAAAATATTTTACATTCTTAAGGTCCAGTTCTAAAGAGCAGATGAAATATAGACAATAAAAATAAGGTGAGCTAACTTATGTTTCATAAAAGAAAGACTGCTAAAAAATTTCAAATAGGTTAAGCACTAATCTAATGTAGACAGTTGTAAAAATATTAAGTAGATAACAACATTCTAGAAAATTTTTAAATGCTTAAAATTATTTTATAGTACTAAAAAATATGAATTTGTAAATATCATCACCTGATTTTTGTGGAAAATTAGGGAGTTAAATGTGGTGCTGACTTTAGTGTCAATGAATCATATGACTATAATTCAACTATAATTAAAAAAGTTCAACTATCGTCACACTTATGGCAGAATAGAATTATAAAAATAGTTACATCAAGATTCAGGAATAAAACTTAATAAAATTAATTTTTATTTGACTTGAGTTTATAAGTAATTATATAAGTACCATCAATGACACAAATTGCCAGTTGCCACTTAGCAAATATTTTACTAAACTTGCCATTCAACCATGAAAGCAGCATTATATTTTATACTGGTTGGAATTGGACTTCAGAACAGACTTCAACCTTAGTTACCTTACAATAGCTATGCAAGATATGTGGGCTAGTCAACTAAGACTCAACACTCAAGTTGCTCAACTACAATATTGAGGAAGCACAATCAATTGGCTAAAGTTGGCTTGTGTATATTACTGTCCATGTTGTCTGTTAGTGTTAGCATTAGTCCAATTAGTATATCCAATCATCATGATCAAATTAAAATTAGATATGTTGATCATACCACGAATTGTAAACATTTTTTCTTTACTCTGCTGCCAAACCTGCAAACGTACCTAGTTCCATCTTCCAAAACAATGATAATTACACATGAAAGTATTCTACTTCATTCAACTCTAAATACAGTAAATATATAATAATAAGGGAAGTCCACAGTACTCCACAGTCCCACTCCACCGCAGCCTTGAACATTAAAGTCGTGCTGTTGGCGAGGACAACGTAACAAAGAACATTACACTACGCATTCTCCATACTATAGTATAGGGCTGTGAGATTTTCATATCTTAACGAAAGCACGTAAATAACTACTCACCTAAAGGTTTCGTGAAACGGTAGGAGTCTCTTCTCAGTTCTTTTTGCATGATGTGTTATTTTTATATCAAAAGAAAGAAATACGCGTTTAGTTAGTGTGGTTCAACGGCAAGAACACTCAGACCAGCAGACTCTAGAGAACTGAGGTGCGTCAGCTGTGATCTGTTTACATACGTCTGTAGTAGTTCTCATACCTCCGCCACAGCGAACATGCGTGTTCACAAAAAGTTGTCGGAAATGACTCCTTAACTTTTCTGCCACAAAAATATGATAATTTACAGGATTGATTCGCTTTACTAAACTTGAATATCTTATTTAAATTGTTCGTTACCTAAATCACATACAAACTTAGAACATACTTTCAAAAATGACGTCGTTGGAGATTCAATTACGTCACTCAGCCCAGCAATTCCCAGAATATGCATCTGTTGTTCGTTTTAGCACCTGCAAAACTTTGAAAATTAATGTTTTGGGAACTAATGCAATATTACGTAAAAATTGAAATTATTTATTCATTTATTAGATATTTTTTATGTATTTGTCTTCCATTATCAAACTCAGTGTTAATTAAATCACTGGTTACGCTAAAAAATTCAAACGCATTTAGATATTGCGTCTCAAATTTTACCGTATGAAAAGTAATCCAGCAATCTGAGAGAGTGAGCAAAATGAGTAAAAGTTTTTTTTTTAAGCATTACACATTTCTTAGTCTCGCGTATCAATTTTTAGTGATTTTTCTACATGAGAGTTCAATGACCTCCTTTGTGTAGGTCATACGATGACGTTTCAGATCTTCATCGATTAATGTTGTCACTGATCAGCCAGCCACGATTTGAGAAAAAATGCTTCATTGAGTCACGTATTTACTTACTAATTAGAAATTAAAATATCTGTGTAAGTTAGAAGCAGGTTAGATCAACTTAAAAATCTGAAAAATATATTGCTGAAATATTCGCGTAAATTTGATCACAGTCATGCACGTGTACGACTCTTTATCAAATGATTGATCTTCTTGCATCTTGATACTCGTCGTCTGAGTCAAATGGTGTCAATAGAGGCTGTCTAGACACACTTTACTGATTACCTGAATTTCTCAGCTGAAAAAAAGTAAACATATTTTATCGGTGTCAATTGCACGTTCATTATGATTAGTAAATACATAAGAAAAACTATTGGTTACGTAATTTTAGTATTTTTTTAGTGTTGATGAAGATTGACTGATCATTTTAAAGCAACAACGCTCTGATTCACGGAGCCTTATTTCATCAAGGGTGCAAAAACAAGATTCATTGGTATGCGAATGGAGACTTTTTAAAATAAAATAAAAAATATTATTTCAACTCGAGTTGCGCTTTTTTTACAACGGACAAGATCACATCCTAATATTTCATAATTCAGATGAAATTTCTCAGAGAAAATTCTCATTTTTTTTCGTATGTTAAGCAAAAGAGGAGCTTCGATGTCCTCTTATACTAAAATAAATGGACCAGCTCGCCTTTCGTCAGTTCCTTTCATTTTTTTTTTCTTGGCATGTTTCTCGACTCTTGATGTGACCAGTTCACTTGTACGAGTCTCTGGTCAGTTCACTAATACGAGTCTCTGGCCAGTTCACTAGTACGAGTCTCTGGCCAGTTCACTAGTACGAGTCTCTGGTCAGTTCACTAGTACGAGTCTGGCCAGTTCACTAGCGAGTCTCTGGCCAGTTCACTAGTACGATTCTCTGGTCAGTTCACTAGTACGAGTCTCTGGCCAGTTCACTAGCATGAGTCTCTGGCCAGTTCACTAGTACGAGTCTCTGGTCAGTCCACTAGTACGAGTCTCTGGCCAGTTTACCAGTACGAGTCTCTAGCCAGTTGACTAGTATTAGTTTGGTCAGTTCACCTCCAGCTGTAACTGCTAACATTGATTAATGCTGGCGCTGGTTGCTTGCTAAATCGATGTCACTCGCCTAACATGTGATTTGATGCACGTGAACGGCCTCAAGCAGAGGTGTCGCTATGGGCATGAACGTCGGTTCAAGAATCTTGACCTTTGACTCGCATGGATAATTAGATTCATTTGCTGACATTTAATATAGACTTATGTATAAAATCTGTCAAAATTAAAATCGGTTTAATTTTAACACTATTACCCTGCTCGTGAGGAGCTCGCAGTTTGTTCGTTTTTTTTTCTCGAAGACTGGACTGTCAAGAAGCTGGTACGTCGAAATTCGTTTCTGTCTGTAACACCTCTTGAGCCATGATACAACTCAATGGCTAATATTAGACTAGATATCGATATTAGGCTCAAAATTAGGCCTAAATGTTTAAATATAATTTTTAGTCTTTACAGAGAACTGAACTTAAAATGTAATTATTGAATTTTTAGCGTGAAATTTTAAACTATCAAATAAGGAGTAAAGTTTCGAAATTCAGCAGCAATTCTTATACTCGAAAGAAAGGGGGCACGTTATAGATATATACATATTATTTAGCATCGATGCTGTTACAGAGGGTTTTACGCAATATACCTGCATCTACGTCATAAAACTTTAATGCGTCTCAAAACCGGCATCTGCGACGCATTGTAAATAGACATGAGTTTAAAATGCACCTGGCAACTAGACGTGTTTATTCGTGTCATTAAATGACTTACTAGTCGTTTGGCTTCATCTGTTGAAAAAAAATTATTTTATTTTATATGTTGCGATATGCATGATTGATAGAATGAATTTTCGTAAGAAGTTAAGTCTTTCATGTCTTAATTAATCATTGTTTGAAAGTCAGTAATAAATTTAAATTCCCCGATAAATGTGGCAAGGCTCTAGTTTTCTATCCATTTTCATAGTGAATCTTAGTTAACTCAAAATTAACTCATATGAGTTTCTGTTATTGATCATGAAAAAAAAAAGAAGTTTAATAGATGATTTTTTTGCATCTATTGTTCTTTTTAGGAATGTTCATTTGTTTATAATAGCTTACGGTCAGCTTGAAATTTTCGTTTCCGTTTTTTTCTCATTTGAAAAAACGGATTGATGAGGGACTCTTTTCTGTATGTTATCTCCATGAAAGCAAATAAATTGTTTGCTTTGAGCGTCCGTGGCATCTCACCACATTGTGATTGAAGATAAAATCACTATAATCTAATACGTCCGACTTATGTGAATATATTAATCTGTCGGACGACTGATTAACTAAACATTTTGGCCTCATGTCATAACTTTATGTCATAAGCAGTTGTTTGTTGCTGTCGTGCGCCCGAACCTAGAGTTTGGAAACGTCGTATGGTCACCGAAATTTGAAAAGGACAGAAATTTAGTAGAGAGTGTTCAAAGACGCGCAACAAGGATAGTTCCGGGCTTGAAAGGCAAGTCCTATGAGGAAAGATTAAAGATTATGAAGCTTCCAAGCCTCAGTTATCGACGTCTGCGTGGGGACCTCATTGAAGTATACAAGTATACTCATGACTTATACAAGGTCCCAGAAGGATTACTAGAATTTGAAACAAGAACCAACACCAGGGGCCACGGCTATAAACTAAAAAAACAGCGTTGGAACACATCCATGCGACAACATTTCTTCTCGCTTCGAGTCACCGACATGTGGAACAGCCTACCTGATAGCATCGTTGACGCTCCGAGTATGAACATCTTCAAAAACAGACTAGACGAAGCTATGCAGGAGCATATGTTCAGTCTTAAAATGCCTAGCAAATTACGGACCAGGCAATAAGTCCAGCAGCTATCTCAATCAATCGTCAGCTATGGAAAGATCGGGTTCCAAAGGCCGGATCCCTTGTGAATCAAGTCACGAAAAGTTCAAGAATCGGCAACAGGCCATGGGCCTATTTCTTCAGCGCCGACACTTCTATATTCTATAACTGCTAAAAATATTTCCAAATGAATGAAATTAATTAAGCAAAAGCAAATGTTTACTAAATTATTAAACCAGGAAACTATTATTTCGCAATCGTCCGGCCAAATTTGTATGGTTAGCTACAGTAAAAAAGGAAGAATCGTCCAGCTGACAAATTTACATAAATTTCACATGTGCGTTTGCACATCAACAAAATTTGGCAGAAGACGTTTTATTATAAAATACGACATTTAAGTTCCTATTAATTGTTAAGTAAAATATCTAGCGATGTGCTGATATACTAAATTGGCAATTTTAGGGATGAAGAGTGAAACTGTATTCATCTTCTTTCATTAGTTACCAAATCTGCTTGGAGTTTCCTGGAAGATAATCACTTATTCATAAATGAGAATTAGAGTAAAGTGAATCCTATTATCTCACATCCCATAATCCTGTATAATAACGAACAAAATTAATTATTCGCAAGAATTTCAGATAATTAGAAGCAAACCCTTTCACCTCAACACTTAACATAGAGCATTGACAACATTACTGTCATAGCAACAACATAGAGCAACATTTTACTGTCACTGAGGTATTTAGAAAAATTCTGAATTTCTGAATTTTAGCACCGTCGGACATAATTTGATTGTTTCTTAGCCTAAATTTGAAAATTATTTTTAACTTCAAAGTTTCCTTAGCATTTTTTTCAGTCCCGGGTGATGTCATCACTTAAAGCCTAATTTCAGGTACAGGTTATAAGCCAAGACGATGTCGCGGAGACAAGCTCCTGCAGCCATTTATATGATTACAGCGCAGTGTTCGCATACTATAGCTTAGTCCGTAGCTTACTCCGTAGAATGTATTATGTATTGATAACGTTTATTTGTTTGTATGTTTGAAGCCTGGTGGAATTACAAATATGTACGGGCTGGTCATTCAAAGTGTCTCCACCATAACTATCGATCGTGTCACGGACAATAACTATCGTGTCGAGATCCACGGCCTACACTACCTGGTCCATGACTATTCTCAAGTATGCGTGGTGGAAATGAGCTGGATTAAAAAAATTTACTCTCCTAAATAAATTGGGACTTTGAGATTTTAGTTCTGTGAAAAATAATCAAAATTCGTTTCGCAATGAAATGAAATCGGTGTAATTACGTGTATGAGTTAGGTTTGCTTAAATTTTAAGTAATTTAGCTTTAGATTATCAACTATCGAGACAAAGAGGCTCTAAATCCCACGGATTCATCCAAAGCAACGCTGGGCCAACCTGCTAAAAAAAGCAATATAAGAGCGATGATTGCTATATATTTTATAACCAGCAGTTTGGCGTGGGGTTGCCCGGGCTTGATAATTCATGCAATTCAGGAACACTGTTATCTCATAGTTCATCATTCCCTCTATCCTGTTAATAATGATACAGCTTATGTGTAGTAATTAGGTATAGACCACTTCAAACCTTCGTTCCATATAGAAGGTAGGGCTCTCATTTTAATGGTTTCAAAATATGGAATCAAGCATTCTGAGTTTTATTCCTTCAATTTATATCATCGATAAAATTTATATCATCGATAAACAAGATAAACCGGCAAAAATCCCAGTAAAGAAGTAGAAAAATACTTTGGGTTGTTCTTGGATTAGAGAATACTTTTTGTTCTTGGATTGATTCATGTCTAAAATTTTTATTATGACTTAAATGTAAATAAAATTGATGAAGTTGTCTCCACAAACATTAATGAAAGAGAGGTGAAATAATGGCAGCTGATGTATTTGGTACGTATTGATACAGTAAGTGATTTACGTTTTTACAACACTTTTCTTCAACTTCACTTCTTGTTGTTTGTTTCTTCGTTTGTCTGCTACAAATCTTATTTTATCGCACTTCTACCTGTCTAATATATCTGAAATCTTGCATGACTCAATTGACAGAGTAAATAATATTAAAAATTAATTTCTTTAATATGTAAAAAAACTATAAATAATTTTCTCAATATTTAAAAAAATAAGAAATTTATTGTACATGTGTAACATCGGAGACACTGGCCTCTTTAGAAGTGTTATCTTTAAAAGGTAACTTTAAACGCATATTTTACTTATATAAGATTAGAAAAATTGCATATAATGAAACTGGACCCAACTGTATATATAACTATCACAGTTCGATGCCGCAGGAACTATACGGTTTTTTATTAGATGAAAGTACCTACGCGAAATAACCTTCACCGAAATGCATCCATCTGTTTCATGATCTCCAATGACAGTGAAGATGCTTCAGTTCTTCAATAAGACCTGATCGTTATTTCCGTGTGATTTGTGCCCGTGTTAGTGTAGCTCACATGTAACACGTGTTGAGTTATAACGTTTCTCGTACGTGGGATTCATTCAAGGCTGAATCGTGTATCAAGCTGCGTTGAATCGTTAAGTGATAACGAATTTTGCGAGTAAAATATCTTGAATGTACCTGCATCTTGACCGTAAATAGTACAAATTGTCTCTAAGTTTTGGCATTTGTGACCAGCGTGTCACCTACTATTTCCAAATTTGTTTATTGATCTTCCAAAAATTAACACAAAGAACAAAAAGAGTTAAGCAAAATTTTACTGATATTTCATTTTAATAATTTGAATAAAGTTTTACCTAATGATAAATTCGAGAAGATTCGTAAATTTTAGCCACTTTTGATACATCTTAAACATAATTGTTTCAAATCAAAATTCTAAATCTTTACAGTTGATAATTTAGGCGACTAAGTTTGCTGATTTGCTAGTACCCGTGATAGAACTTGTGTAGTGCGAAAATTCCAAAAAGGTAATCCACTTTTTGGCTATGTGAATTTGGGTTTTGCTTATTTTTGCATGGATTGAATTTTAGTGTAAATGTTCGGAAATGACTCGAAGATAGGGAGGCCTCAAGAAAGTCTACATATGAAGCAAACTAGCGTTTGTGCCGCTATGCTTCATTCAGAGCGTCAGCGATCCCGTCTAAATAAATCACGTGAGACTCGCTACAACGATTCACCTGCAGTTCAGTAACAATTTTACATCATTGTTGACGCTAACCGATGAATTCTGAGTAAATAGCTAAGTTTATCCTCTCAAATTAAAAAAAATTCTGGAAACTACCGGGTAACAAAATTTTGTCAAAATGTCTCTGATCAAGCCACGTATTTAGTTTATAATCTTATTTATGTAAATTTGTGTACTGCTTTTCGTTGGCTTATTTATAAACTATAAAATAAACTATAAAACGCAAAATTATTTATAAACTGAAATTCACACGCGTTTTCAATTGATATTAACCGTTAAGATTAAATTTTTGGAAAAACATATAAAATTTATAAATACCGCATTTTAAACTTAGATTAATGCTTTAACCGCATCAATGTTGCTGACTAACTACTAAGTAATTATTATCATTTTAATTAGATAAAGAGTCGGCAAAACTATTGATTACGAATTAAGACTAATTGTTATATTTATGATGCGATGGAGGACACAAAATTAACCGAGCATAATTTTTTTGATCAACGCTGATCTTAATTCTCATGATTAAGAATGTTCCATTTGAAAGATTCGGTGCATCTTTCGGATGTGTACAAGTATGAATTAACCAATCACATAAATACATTAAAAGGTTTCTGTTAATCTACTTTTTTTGGTAGGCCTATAGCACATTTTTTCCATCAGATAACTAGTGGACCGCACATTCCAGCAGAACAAATAACTTCCTTCGACCTAAAAACAACATTCAATCTTTGTAACATTTTTCTGCAATAAAAATAATGAACGACATGTTCTAACATGATGTATTAAGACAATGTTTTCCGTTAGAGCAAGCCTAGGATAAGGAAAACACGTATAAATGTAAGAAATCTCAAATATTTTTTCTTCGCGCCACGCGCTAAGGAAATTTATCTACCCAATACTATTCAAGATCAGACGTCACGTGATTAGAATTCATAGCAGCGTTGTCAAATTTCCTTACAGCGGTGTCAAGTCTACTCGTTGTTGTTAGTGTTATTCCAAACGTGGCGATGAGAGGACGCACGTGCTGACCGGCTTCAGTCAAATCTTGATGCGAAGTTATTTATGTATTTATGCTGTTCACGAGTGATAATTGCTTGTATACCTAAGGAAAGTGGTGCAATGATATAATTTTCTTTTCGGCTTATTGAATGTTTTCGTGCCTAAAGAAGTTGGTGTTACTCGAGTGTGATTGTTTTGGTTGGTAGGGATCTGTGAAGCGAACGCCGCAGCCCAGTTGGGACCCTTGTTATGCCCACGGATTGAACTACTTGTCTTGGGCACATACCATAATTTCCAGGTTCGTATAAATGTAGAAAAAATACTTTAATTCTCTAGACAACCTACTTAGTTTATTGCTGATAAATAAGCTTCATAACTCTCTGGTAATGTCGGTGCTTTATGTCTATTTATTTATAATATATTTTGGCCATCACTTGTTTTATTTATTTCAAATTTCTTATTGTGTAATATTTATTATCATATTTATCAAGTTAAATTGCACAAAAATTTGTATCAAATTTGACACTTGCTTGACCTGCTATGACTCATTTAACAGTTTAAGATGAGCCAGCATTAATTTTATTTCTTGACAAGCTTAAATTTCTTTGTGAATTATGAATACCTATGTTTAGAACTTCTGATCATTTGTTGCAATAATTTGAGGAATAATTGTAGAAATTAATTTTTGCTAATCCTCATTTCATTACTTTTTGCTAATTCAATCTCATGCTACCGCTAGATCATTCTGCAATAATGACTGTATCATCAATCATCATACATCTACTCTTGATGAATGGTTTTCATGTGTCTAAGTGTGTCATGGCTATATATATTGCAATTTTTATTTATTAACTTTTCAAGTATTTATTCAAAGAGTTTTTAAAATCTGAAAAGTTAGTTGCTAAATCAAATGAAAACAGGGGCCCAGGAGTTACAGAGCATGTCTAATTTCCTGAGGATTGGATGTGTTGAGTCCAACTTCACCATAGCCATTAGACATCTGGTGTGCCTAGGGATGATGTGTTTGCCAAAATAGCCATTAGACATCTGGTGTGCCTAGGGATGATGTGTTTGCCAAAATAGTCATTAGACATCTGGTGTGCCTAGGGATGATGTGTTAGCCAAAATAGACATTAGACATCTGGTGTGGCTAGAGATGATGTAGGTATTGGGTTTAAAATTTTGTTTAATTAGAATTTCAGACAGGGAATTCTTATGATTGTTTATTATAGTGCTGAAAACCTGAAATATTAACTAGGTTTGAATGAAAGCTTGGTTTCAAGCCTCACATCTAGTAAATATGAGTTTTTCTGCTCTCTTTTATATATATATACCCCTTCAAATACCACCCTGAATTAGGCTTCTACTAAGCCAGCTTTTTCTAGTGTCAGTGATATTATATAAAAAAATATAACTCAGTACTCACTGCAGTGAGTGATAGTGATCACATTTTCTTGTCGACAAAAACATGAAGCCATGGACGGACAGACAGACAGACGGACAGTCTGACATGGCGAGCACAATAGTGCCTTTTTTGTATAAATGAGAAAATGCGCTAACAAGTGTTTCTGAAAAAATTGAAAAAGGTTCTTGAAATTTCATAAATTATGTGATATTTTCTAAAAGGAATGAGCAGAAATGAAGTGATAATTAATCTTTTAATGCTCACAACTGGGGGCTTGTTTATTTTCATCAGTGTTTCTTGACTCGTCAATCACCACTGAGCACAGTTGCTGCTCTCTTATAAGAACTATGATCTTCTAGATAACATTGAAAAAAAAACTTTTTGGTGTACAGTTAAGCTGCTTTGAACTTTGTGTAGAACACAACTATTGCAACCAAATATATTTTTACCTAAGAAATTTGCACAACATTATTCTGACTGAAGCAGCAGCAAGTTGATCATGGTGGCAACTACTAGGTCATTGATGGTAGCTGTTAGAGAATGGGTTATTCTAATATTTTGGTTGCTTTTTTAGACATGGAAAAGTTGCATGTGATTTTGAAAGAATTTGGCTTAATAGCAATTTTTCTTTACATGGAAATCATTTGAATTTTTAGCTATTATTGTTGCTGTTATTTAGTTATGGAACTGTAGGGACTTTTCAATAGGGTTGTTTTGTGTGTTTGAATAGTTATATGTTGTTCTTCAGAAAGATGATAAAACAAATTAGTAATGCATATGTATCAAAATTTTTGTTGAAACTAACACACCCTCTTTTCAAAACATGTGTAGATAGATATACCTAAATATATGTGCTTACAAAATAAGAAACTTTATCATTTATATGCAATTCAAGGTTATTTTTAAGTAACCATTCATTTATGTGAAGTGTTTCTAAATTAAATCACCCTTTTAGATATAAATTGGCTATCTTACCTGGAAATTATGCCGTTCCACTCCAAATTAGTTTATTCAGTTCAGTATATTGCTTGGCTCATTCAAGGCTGGAAGGCTTACTCTGATCATACTCAGTTCTATGCTCTACCCAGTTCTCATGTTTGAAAGGGATAGATACAAATAGATAAGAGGAAATAATTGTTGGAACTGCATTTTTATTTATATATTTAATGTATAATTATATGTACCATACGGTACCTATATAATTATTGCAAAGCAAAATTCATTTTTATATCTATTATTCTAGAATAAATTTTTTGTATGTTTAAGGATGTATACATGTATATATATGTACTTATAGTTTTCACATAATAAAGGAAATGATGATTAAGCAAGATTCAGACTAAGACATTTTAGAGGGCTTGAAGGATTATATAAACCTTAACCTTAGGTTTGTGGCTCAAACGTTAAGGTTGTACTCTTTGTAAATTCTTGCAACCTCAAAAAAAAAAAATGGTTTGTAAGAAAGATAAAATAAATTGCATATTCTCTTATATTACATCTTTATTTCATAAATATTATTTGCTGATTAAAGAGAAGTCTAAGAATAATAGTGCAAATGATGAAGAAATTTCTTGTGTAGGTCAAGTTAGGTTTCAATATTAGCTGTGAACTTATATATATTATCAAAGGAACTGTTGCTCTTTTGTGATTGAAATTTTTATTTACTTGCAATAAAAAAAATGAGCACTGAACTACTGGAGCAAAAAAGGATAAAATACTGTATGAAGTGTTCTTGAACTCTTATATCTATATCACTAACTGACTAAGGTGATGAAAGTGCAAATGGTATAATCAGGCTCTATATGATTGAAATATATTTAATTCACAATAATTGGCTATCAATGATGAATATCACCAGTGCTTTGATATACCTCTTTTTGTACAACAATTGAACTTCTGTCAATAGGATCAGTCTTTTTAAATTATAATATATTCTACATGCTTTTTCATTTCAAAGTTACGCAAGTGTCAAAACCTGTCTAAATGCTGTGTATAACTTGGGATATGATACTTAGCTCCTTGTCTTATGAGTATATAAATCGCATTACATTCATTAATAGTGATGAAATTTCATCATTGTACAATTTGTAATGTTATTCTATTCCTACTTTATTTTTTATTTTGGAACCTGCTGTGTTGCTTGTAGATATAGAGTGTGCCTTCCCCAAAAATATACAAGACTAAACCATAATTGTAGTGTTTGTTTGGAGAAGGTCTTAGGTTTAAAATCTGTTTCTATGTATCCAATTCACCTAATGTAGTAAAATAAGTTCTTTCCTGAAAATTTTCTTGGTCATCCAACAAAATTATTTAGTCTCAAGTCCCTAAAATTTAAACTATTTTTGAGTTGAATTCATCCATCTGAATGGGTAAATTTTTAATGGTTAGCAGTGTTGAGCGATCTGGTAACTAACCTGTATGATAAATTAATGAGTATATGGGTATGTTTATCGAGCTGAGTATACTCTACCTAATTGTACCGTATAATCATGTAACGTCCGTGGGGCCAAAGTCGCGGAATCGGCAGCCATTTGGCCGATTCCGTAGAATCAGCATTTCGTTGCTGATTCAGAAAATCGGACGTTAGAGTTAGAAAACATAATTGGACAGTTAGAGTTAGAAAAGGTTTGTCAAGTTCGGTCAAGTTCCTTTATATTTAAATATATACATGACCTAACCCATGAAAAACATGGCTCACTGACCTAACCCCAGGGCCCAGATTCCTGTAGTAGAGAAATGCTGATTCTACAGAATAGGCAAACTGGCTGCCGATTCCATAGAATTGGCAATTCCACGATTTCGGCACGACATATACGTACATATATGACTTTGGCCGCGAGTTTCAGAGATAGGTTCGTATTATATGTTATCAGATAAGTGAAATACCAGTTCTTATATTGACACTTACATGCATTAATTGCATCAGTTACACTCGATTAAAGTTAAAAAAATCTCTATTCAAATAAAGAAGATGTAGTAGATGGCTATTGGGCACTGGCTAGATATAACGAGTTGAGTTAGTACAAGTAAAAACAGTACGATTGGTGGCAATACGGAGCTGTTGCTAATGAAGTGAAGAGCATTCCATAGCTTGCGTGGGAGTGCGTTCACTGATCGAGCTTGTGAGTTTGACAAAAAGAATACTGCGGCAAGTAAACACATCGTTCACTTATACATTAGCTCACAATCAGTCCTCAATTTGTGTTGGCGCGCTGTGAAGGTGATGGGCATCCTATATGCCCTATTCCTTTGTGGCGACCGCTGCTCGGCTCCCAGACCCAGGCAGGTATAAGGGCTACAGCGGAAATGGGTGGCAAATAAAGTGGCGAGGTAGCGACTACCTGCCTAAACCACCTCATCCTCCTGTGACTTTACTAGGCAGCCTCCATAATCTATTCCATGCACTTGCATATATGACGGATGATTCCCAGTCTCAGGTTGTGTCATAATGTTATTATTTTTGACGCATGATTTATTTGATATGCGTTGGTCAAAGTCAATCTTTTGTTACGTATCCTTGACAAATAATTTACCTAGAGCCAGCTCTGTTTTTCTTATCTTAATATGTTAAAATATCGTTCCCATTTTTATGCAGTACAGCTTTTTATCGTTGGGAAATGGGCATCATTGGTTAGCAATTCGAGTTCAGGGTTTTGTTAAAATCAATCGTATGTTTGCAGGCGCGCCTGTTGTAAGCCTACTTTACTTCTGAGATTGATCTAACTGGTACTTAATAAAACCGCCATTGTTTTCTTATAAGCTGTGTGGCAACTTTTGATGATATTAATCTCTTAGTTGTTTTTTTTTTATATATTCGTTTATATTCAGGATGGAAGAATCATAGAAGTTCGGTATCATTGGCAGAAATTTGAACAAGTTAGAATTTCTTAGGC